TATATATATATATATATATATATATATTTTTTGCTCCTTGGTGATTGCTCATTTTGATTATCAGTTCATTGTGGTTTTCGTTTACCAATGTATTTGGTTGGTTTGTTGAGATGTGCTAATTGTCCGTCGATCTAACTGGGTTGCATTTGCTTTGTGAATTGTTCATTTTGATGATCAATTTATTGTGGTTTGTTTTACAATATATCTGGCTTGTTGAGATGTTTTGTATTGTTTGTGGATGCAACTTTTTTTAATTTTTAATTAATTTATTTGTTTGCTATTTGATGATTATTAATTCATTGTGATTTTCTGTTACCAATGTGTATGGCTGATTTGTTAAGATGTGCTAATTGTCCATCAATCTAATTTGGTAGCATTTACTTTGTGAATTGTTCATTTTGATTATCAGTTTACTTTGGTTTGTTTTACAATGTATTTGGCTAGTTTGTTGAGATGTGTTGTGTGTTCGTCGATTTAATATTGTTGCATTTACTTGGTAATCTGTTCATTTAGATTATCAATCCATCGCGGTTTTTATTTCCGTTGTATATGGCTGGTTTGTTGAGATGTGTTAGTTGCACGTGAATCTAATTTGGTTGCATTTACTTAGTGATTGATCTTTTTGATGATCAATTCATTGTGGTTTGTTTTACAATGTATTTGGCTGGTTTGTTGAGATGTGATGTATGTGGATTTAATTTGATTGTTCATTTTGATGACTGATTCATCGTGATTTTGGTTTTCCAATGTAATTGGATGTTTAGTTGAGATGTGTTATGTTGCCTGTTGATATAATTTGGTTGCATATACTTAGTGATTATTTGTTTTGGTTCTTGATATATTGAAAGGTTCAGTTTTAACGGATAGGACTTGGGGTCGGATTGGAAAATAAATATGCATTTTTCCCTGCATTAGAAGGTTGACGTGGCTGAGGACAATTCACTACCAAGCAAACTTTATTCATAAGAACATTGTATCTTTTTTCAGCCCAACTTAACAGTAGGGTGAAGAACTGAATAACCTTAAAATGTTTTGTTGTATAGTCTGAGCTTTAAAAGATGTTCTTGTTAACATTGTTTAATTTTCCTTACCAACCTCGGTTCTACAAAGCATGAGCGGTATAAATAATACCCTGATCTAGCTCGAGTCTTGCTATTGCTTTATGGTGGTATATAATTCAGGCACACAACCAATGGAGGTGTAAATTAATATTTGTAAAATCATTTTTGTATTCTCATTTACATTTGGGTGGATCTAAATTCCAGTTTTGCTTCAATGAGAAGATTTAAATTCATTTTTTGCCTCTTATGAATGTAAAATAAGATATAAATTTAAATCTTTTTTTACATTTTCTGTCAAAAAATGTAATTTATTTTTTCCTTTGCATCTCTTCTCTAGAAATGTTTTCGACTGGTAAAGATTTAAATTTATTTTACATCATGATTGGAGATGCTTTTAGATGCAGAATAGAGCTGGTAGTTTGCAAGGCTCATAAGCTCGAGGCTACGGACTCAAATTTAGGAGTGAACAAAAAAATTGTCAACTCGAACCCAAATTGTGATTTGGAAATTGGTTGGTTTAGTTTTCAATATTTTGAAAGAGAAACAAACCTTTTGACAATAGTTGGGTTCAGGTTGGATGGTTTAAGATCGCTTAAAATCAAATCAAATTATTTGCCCAATTCTAAATTTCCAGTAAATTTCTAAACTATTGTTCATTTCCAGTAAATTTCTGATTTTTTTACCTCTAATGGTTTACCATTTGTCAAGCATTCTATTTTCTTTTACAGGAAGGCAGGTCACTAGCTCTGTTATACAGTCTTAAAGGTTTATTTTGATTTCAAACCACCGTCCACTTTTATCAAATTTCTGAAAAATTATTTTGCTTCTCTAATTGTTTACCATTTGTCAAAGCAATGTATTTTCTTTGACAGGTAGGACATACAGCTCATTCATACAGCCCTGAAGAATGTTTTGCAGCCTTTTCTATGGTTTGCAGCTTTTGCTTGTGAGTTTTGAATTTGAAGATTGTGAATTCTATTTTACTATTCTTAATTTAGAAATGACCTGCCTATTTGAGTTTGGACTATGGAGAAACTGTCAATCGTTTTTCTAATTTATAATTGAGTAATATCTTGTTTTGTAGCATGAGTCATAGTTGGCAATAGCAAGTTTAAGAAGGCTTGAGGTTGACCAATGGATGCTTGAGTTTAATCGATGATCATAGAGTGTTTAATCTTCCTTTTGAGTTTTTGTAGTTAAGAGACAGGTTTCATTATGTTAACAATTATTTCTATTTTAGAGGATTTAGATTCATCACATGGTTATTCATTCTTCTAACAAATGCTATATTTGGCAGACTTTTGTTGGAAGGTTTGGCAGAAGTTGATATTGATGATCATTGCAAGTCTTTCAAGGTTAGGTTAATTTATTGAATAGTTGGATTTTGCTCATGAAGCTTTATCTACTCCAGCACATTGGGAAACAAAATCGCCAGTAAGACCCTTGTAGCGACCCCAGCCCTCCACTCTCCACAGTCCCATTTCACAACCCACCAGAATATTGCAGAGTTGCAGTTCCAAACCTTGTTCCTTTTAGTAAATTTCTGAAAAATTATTTTTCTATTCTCTTTTTGATTTGTCAGAGCATTATATTTTTTTTGACAAGCTTGTTCATACAGCCCTAAAGAGTGTTTTGCTATGTCCAAATGTATTTATCTGCATTTAGATCCTAGCATTTTATTAGGGACAAAGAAGATTAGCTCAATTCCTTCCTTACATATATTTTTTGCTTTTGTTTAGCTCAGTGGCTGCTCTTAAACTCAATTAGGTTACAAGGGCACGAAATCCTCTTCCCAGAAAGAAGCAAAAGAGAACTTCCATTTGTAAAAAAGCTATTGATAAGGAAAAGGCATGGAATTCGCAGCAGAAGCTGAATTACAACTCACCATCAAAGAAGAAGATGACGAGTTCAGATTGTCAAGGAAGGTAAAGTTCATCAATGCGTTTGGTTTCTGCTCAGAATTTATAGATATAAATTGGCGAAACCTTTTGTTATGTTAAACTGTATTTTTTCCATAATAATATGGGAGCTCAAAGAAGAAGCACACAGACCATTGAAGCGTCAATCCTTCGGAAAGACATCCTGCGGCCAGACATAAATTTGTTACTACTTTTCTCTAATATCCTTAAACCCGAAAAGCTGGGCTGACTTTATTGCCCGGTCTGTCGAGAAAGATTACTTTTTGGCCAAGAAGTTGATAGTGAGATCTCAAATCAACTTATTGGTCTTATGGCATGAAATTCCAGCAGGAAAGGAAGAAATTGCCCCATCTTTTTTAGCCAAATTCTTTCTTATTTTGCTGTTCGGCCAGGGAAAGAGGATGATCTCGTTTTCCTTATCTCGTGCAATGTGTATGGTCTTGGACCATCAATAATGATTTTTCTTTAGAATTCGGCTACTTGATTGATCCACTTACTTCTATTATGTCAATTTTCTAATCGATTGTTCTGCAATAATACTCATAGCTTCTCCTAATTCAACCAGGTCACCATGGAGAGTAAATTTTTCTTTCTTGTTGGATTTCTACTTTCTTTCCTTTAAAATAGTTCAAGATCATACTATAGATACCATGAGTTTCCAATTGAAGCTTAGATTGAGGTGATTTATCTATTCCAAGAGCAGGGCTCTTTTCTTTTCCTCTTTGGTGTTTTTTATATGGCACTTTTTGAGGAATTTTGTAGTCTTTCTTCTGTTGTTTCCAGTTGTTGGACTTAATAAAATTAATGAAGGTTTAGAGAAGCCTGGACCAATATGTATATACGTTCTTTATGCTTTGTATTTTGAGCTATTTTCTTACGTTCTTTTTACCCTACATGTAGCATCTTGTTTAAATTTTTTCCTGTTGATGGAATTTAGACTCGTAGATGGGACTTGGTTGGTGACCTTGTTCTCTGACCAGAGGAGTCAATCTTGATTGTTTCAGAAAATGGTCAAAAGTAGGTCTATGTTTGTAATACTTTGATTTTTGATTTTATTTGATTTGATAGTTAATTGACAACAATTGTGAATTTTGTAGGTTGGTTATGATTCATAAATGCCAACTAAGGCCACTCCAAAATATTAGGCAGTTATTTTACGGTATCTAAAACTCCTAGAGTTTATAATATAATACATTTTACGATATTGAAACATAAAGTTTGTTAAAAAGCTTCAAACTGTGACCTTGTTCTTTGACTAGAGAAGTCTGTACGACGAAATCTCGACTATTAAAATACAGAAATCGTTACAAATTGTATTTTGATAAATACAAGTGATGTTGACCTTCTTGTAATTGCAAAATCCTCTGATTAATGATCTAAATATTTGAAGACGAGAGGCCACATGGCTTGAATCCTGCTCCTCAAGAATTTGTTGAAAATTTGATTTATCGAAACTTGACTTGTTCGGAACTTGAACTTCGGGGCTTAGACTTGGACTTGAATTTGATTTGATTTGATTTGATTTGAAGAAGACTTTGAGCTCCTTGGACTTGGCGTGAACTTGTTTGATTTGAAGAAGATTTTAATCTTCTTGGGGTTCACCAGATTTGGATTTGAGAGGAATTCTTCCCTTCTTCTGGGTTTTAAATTTTTTCGGCACTTCGTGGCGTTCTCTGCTTTTTTTTCTTGCTTGCTTTCTGTGTCCTGTCTTATGGACTATTGGTCTTATTTATAGGGGAGGATTCGAGTTAATTTTGGTAATTACTCAATTATATTTAATTAAAAGAGATAATTGAGTAATTATAATTTTATTTAGTTGTTTGTTTATTTTATTTGTTTGTTTATTTATTTAAAATGTGGTATGGGCTCTTGGATTTTTATGAATTTTAGTAGATTTAATATTTAATTGGGTTAATGATTTAAGAGGTAATTAGGTCCACTACCCTCCAAAAATAACGAATTAGAATACTACCACCCAAAACTAATTAAAATTCTTGCTTCGTAATTAATACGCTCAAACACCCCAAACCCCAAAACCTTGGAAGGCCCCAAATCGTACCCAAAAATCCGGCCGAAAATCCCATCGCAAGATCTCCGTTTTGCTTATATGTCGCATTCTTCTCTCCCTTACTATCTCGTTTTATCTATGTTTGTTTTCTTGATTTTGGGCCAATTTTTGTGCCGATTTATTGGAGACAAGGAGAGTAGGAATATTGAAAATGAGAATTAGAGATTAATTGTCCCGTGATTCTTGATTTCATGTGATTTTGCGCTGAAAATTGATTATAGATTTTGGTGTTATCTAGTTTCTTTTTTCCTTTTTTTATTTTTTATTTTTTTTATTTTTTTCTTTTTGGAGTGTTTGATATTACCAAATTTCTGTGGTTGGAAAAATAGAATGATGATTTTCGTATTACATGATAATTGGGAGAAAAAACCATGTACAGACATAATGAGTTTAGATTATACCCATGTTTAATATCATTTGTTCCATTTGATTTATGTGCTTATGCTGAATATTTCTGTTTAATTCGTATGTTCTGTACAGATTAACATTTGATTTGTGACTTTAGAAGAATGTTGGATGAATTGTGAAATCTTTTGGAAAGATATGTTATTGGTGTTTTGGATTATTGAATTGCTAATGAGTATCATTAAATGATCTTGACGAGTTCGCATTTAGCAACTCTAGTGTGAAATTTTGAAATCCAATTATGCATTTGATCTGAAGAAATTGGCATTTCGTCCATTTTAGTATGCTAAGATGAGGTGAGAGTTAAATGAGTGGATATGAACTTTGGGCACTGAGTTTGTGTTATAAACCAAAAACTTGAGAAGAGAACTTGTGTTCTAAACCAAAAACTCGAGATGAGATAACATATTCGAGTGTTTCTCGTTTGATGCTTCTATGGCAATACCTTGTTCTGACTTAAGGAGTATTATTTTTGTAATGATTGTGTTTGCATTGAATCAATTTCATGCAGGTAGTTGTTGGGCATTTTCAATTGTAGTTTGGATTGAATTTGCATAAAATGATATATTTTAAGGTTTTGATTGATGTTTTAGCACTTTTTTTAATTTAAGTCACTATTTTGACTATTTGTCACTTTTTTATTTTCTATCACTTTTTATTTTTTATTTTTTCAATCGTGTAGCTTTTTAAATTTGTGTCATTTTTTTAAATTCGTCACTTTTTTAAATTTTCATCACTTTTTTAAATTTTTGTCACTTTTTTTTTGTATTTGTCACTTTTTTGAATTTTTGTCACTTTTTTTTTATGTTTGTCACTTTTTTATCAATCGCGTTCTTGAATTTCTATCACTTTTTTTTTAGTGACAAACATCATTTTTTTAATAAAAGTGATATTATATATCATTTTTTAATAAAAGGGTGACACTAAACTTTCAAAATGACGTTGTCACTTTTTGCATTTTGTCACTTTTTTTGAGTTTTCATTACCTTTTAAATTTATCACTTATTTAATAAAATAAAAGGTGACATGATATGTTATATTTTCCTAACATAATCAGCATGTGGATTGTCTTGGACATGTTGCTTATGTTAAGAACTGCTACTACGCTCATGTGAGTTCTCTTGAATATGTAGATTATGTTAAAAGTATGATTACTAGTGCTGCACAAATAGATGTGCTATTTTGTGTCTGTCATTTTTTTTTTTTTTTGAGTTTGTGTCACTTTTTCGTTTTACACAGTATTTTTTACTTCCAAAAAACTTTTCATATGATTTTTCAAAACACTTCTAATTTTAAGGATATTTTTGTAAGTTGCCCATGATTTAAATAGACCAAATCCATTTTATTTTATTTACTTATTATTATTTTTTTATGTTTACAAATGCCCCCTCAAAATTTATTTATTTATTATGAAATAAATAAATTAATAAATCTTGATTTTTTATTTATTCGATTTTGACTTTTTTTTTGTCAAACATCTCACTAGTAAATTAATATAGATGGAAATTTTGAGAATAAAACGTGAATTTGATAAAAAATTTATTCTTTAAATTCGAGAATAAATTTTTTCCGTTGAATTTTGATTATTTATTTATTTTATAGACCTATAACAAATTTGATTTGAACAGACTTTTTATATTTAGTGGTAAGTTGTGTTTAAATGAAGTCCGACACTTACCTATTTATATCAATGCATCATGATATTTGAAAATAAGTTGGTTAAATCTTGCAGACAGAGGTAAATAATTTTTTTTAATTCTTTTACTCTCTCTTTGGTCTTTTTTTTTTTTTTTTTTTTTTTTTTTTTTTTTTTATCTATGTTTCTTTAAATTTTTTTAATTAATGGGTTCCGCCGCCAGGAGATACAGAAACCCAACTTGTTTGGTTTTCACATAATTGATTCTATTTCTTTCTTTCTTTTTCTTTTTTTGTTAGTGTTATTAATCAACTTTTTGGGTTTTTCATTGCCCGAAAGTCAAAAAATCAAACAAGTTTTGGTTTCCGCCATGACAACGACAAAAACCAAATTTGGTTCAATTTTTTTTTTTTAGTCTTTTTCTTTTCTTTTTACTTTTTTTTTTTTGTTTCGTTCCTTTTTCTTCGGAATTTCCATTTTTTTTTATTTTTTTTATTTTGGGTTGTGGAAAACGGAATGCTAAATTCCAATTTGGTTTTACCAATTCCATATTGGAATCGATGAAGACCAATTCCAATTTGGATGGAATTGGTTTGGTTTTGAAACAATCTTCTCCATTTTTATTTTTTATTTCTGCATTTTTCTTAATATACCAATTCCAAGTTCCAATTCCAGTTTTTTGGTTTCTGCCGCCCTTAATTTATTATTATTATTTTTTGTTTTTGTTTTTTGTTGTTTCTTCTTCTTTTCTTTTCCTTTTTTTTTTTACATAACTTTTTATTTTTTATTTCTTTCTTCTTGTTCTAGTTCTTTTTTTTTTGAATTGTTTCAATCCCTTTTTCGTTGATTATTGTTGTTATTGTTATGTTTGTTTTTTGTATTTTTGTTTTAATAAAATTGGAACTAACATCCCTACGATTTTTTTAGGGACTCAACTTTTGGAGTAAATCAAGGATTTTGAAGTTCAAAATTCGTGGAAAGATTAGATTTTTTTATTTTTTTTATGTTGCAATACTATGAGTTCAAGAAATACATGCTTATGAACAAACTCAAAATTGCAAAGATATACATTGAGGACCAAGAACTGTCACTTTTCACCATCCAATATACATTTTGTTGAGGACCAAGGTGCTCCTTCCATCGTCCAAGGTACTTTGTGTTAAGGACCAAGGACTGGCTCCTTCGACCGTCCAAGGCACTTTGTGCTAAGGACTAATGACTGGCTCTTTCAACTGTCCAAGGTACTTTGTGTTGAGGATCAAGGACTGACTCTCACTTTGTGTTGAGGACTAAGGACTGGCTCTTTCAACTGTCCAAGACACTTTGTGTTGAGGATCTTATCTATTCCTTCCATCATCCAAGGCACTTTGTGTTAAGGACCAAGGACTGGTTCCTTCCATCGTCCAAGGTAGTTTGTGTTAGGATCAAGGACTGACTCGTTCAACTGTGCAAGACACTTTGTGTTGAGGACCAAGGATTTGTTCCTTCCATCGTCTAAGTCACTTTGTGTTAAGGACCAAGGACATCCTTCCATCGTCCAAGGTATTTTTTATAGAGGGGTTTTTTTTTGTTGTAGGCATGACTGTAACAAGTTCTGATGATAAAGTGTGCT